CCTAATAATAAATGAGTCGAGACAAAGAGAGAAAGATTTCGCCCGTTCACGTAGGGTTACCGTTTTTTTTCGCATCTCCGAGAGTATGACGCTTCGAGTGCTCGCGGAAAAGAGAGAGGGAGAGGGAGACAAAAATACAGAGAACGTGGAGGAGAAAATGTATCCGCGCCGTGGAACGAAATACGAATGTCGAAAAGGGGGATGCGCGCGGCGAGGGATGTGCACGGCCGATGTCTACCACAAAAGCCATTGTCCGCCACTTACTGAATTCGTCGAGCCTCCCTCGCTTCTCTACTTCTCTCTCTCCTCCCTCGCGCTTTCCATATCCACGCGTTGAGAGGGAGAGAAAGAGAGATCGAGAGGGAGAGAGAAGGAGAGAACGAGCTATGCGCGCCACCCGATGTAAAACACTTCCCGTGAATTTTATTGCTCTAGGTATGCCTTCTCGTATACCTCCACGTGCACGGCACAGCAGCTAACCTGGCCCAGGAACTACGGCCATCCCCCGCATTTGCTTATACGCTCGGGCGTGAATCTGACCGCGGCAACATTCAGACGTACACGTACACATGTACACGCGCGTGCAGACGGGAGGATAGAGTATACCCGCGTACGTCGTAGTTATTGCTTGTGTACACACATAGAACGCGCGACTGCACGTGTATTTACCGGCGACGGCAAGTAGGCGGGTCCGCAGTTACAAATGTCACCGTAAAATTACTTTTTAATTATCGTCGAGAGGATTTCGCTTATTACGCGATATTCCGCTCCGTTCCTGAGACGGAGCGAGCCGGCAGCGGTGGAGGCAGGAATCCGCCCCGAAATTTTCTATTTTGTTCGCGCCGCTGACCCCTCGACTCGTCGCAACACACAACGGTTTTAATTTAGATAAGATTGCCCCCTTTATACGTCGCGAGGCATATAGAAAGCGTCACGTAGGCCGTTGGCATCGCCCTGTTGTGCGCTCCCGAATCGAAGTAATTCTTACCTTGGCGCGATTGCGATCGTCTGCGTTTCACGAATTTAATCGCGCTGGATGTATGAAAAAAAAAATTGCGTAAAGAATCGTAGATGGTAGCATGAGTTTTGCGTGATTTTGAGCCGCATTAAGTTATTTTTATTTTAATTAATTAGGCGTCGTTCAATGTTTCTATATCTTTTCTTGACATTTATATATTTATAATTGTTTTATAATAAACTCTCTAATTGGAATTAAGATATAAGATTGCAAAATACGAGAGAATAAAAATAATCATATGTATCAAACATTTATTTAAAAATGTGAGTTTTTCCGCAAAGATTTCATTTATTAATTATTATTTGTCGACAAATATTAGTCTTCGCGTACGCGGCATCTTAAACACGTTTCAGTAGTTTAAATCAACTTGGAGTAATTTATCGCGATTCACAAAATCATCGTTTGTTTTCGGTAAGTACCTCGAAGAAGACACGGCGCGAATGAAAAGTTCGGCCAAGAAGTGGCCCTCTTTCGTCCGCCGAATATTATCTCGGCGACAGCGCGGACGATTCGTTTGCCCGGCGGTAAATCCGCGAATTAAAGAACTTATTCCATTTGGGCAGCCAAAGGGGTGTGAAAGCTTTCGCGTTCGTATTATCTCTCGGCCCGGTCGTCGGAGACGGGGAGACAGGTGGGGGAGGGAAAGGGGTGCGCAAAAAGGGAAAGAGAACGTAACCGGCAGGAAGGCGAGGACGAAGAACGAGGGCCGGGAGTGACCTGGCGAAAGGCGCGAGGGGAAGAGCGAGAGAGAGATACCCCGGCAAGGGGTGAAAGGGGGAGAAAGAGGGGGCGAGAAGGAGGGAGAGGGCGCGTTTAGACGTTCGTTCCGCTGGTAACAAAGATAACTCTATGCAATAAAAATGATTCAAAGTTTCCCGCAGCGGCGGATGGCGGTTCCGATGGCGGAGCGGTTGACAATGGTGCGTCTTTGTCTCCGTCCCGCGCCACGCCGCCGTCCCTCGACTCGCCGCCACTTCTGTCCCACCGCCACCCCCGTCCGTATCCTGCGACACCTATCTTCCGGTTTAAAGTCCCGGCGTGCGCGCCAGAGAGGAACCTCGCTAACTTTTATTATTTACGACCGATATTTCAGCCAGGCCCGAGCGCATACATTTGGTAGCGAGTGAGGCGGGCGCAAAGTGGCCGCGCCGAGTCGACGTCGTTTAACGCGATCGACGCCTTCGAGAAATCGTCGAGATGAGATTAGAAAATCCCCACGTCTATCGTACGTACGCTGATTCGTCAACGATAGGAATCTCGAGTTGTCAAAGCTTTACACTAACGTGTTTTGTCACCTTTTTCGATTTGTTAAACATTGTTTAACTCGTATTTAATAACGCGACAAGAAAGATGTCGAGTCAAATTGACTAAGCTTCGATCAATTTCTGATTTAAGTCATTGATAATTAATCGCACCTACCAAACGCAACAAATGAAATATTATGCCATCGCGTTATTAAAACGACAGCTGAGTGAAATTAATCGAATCCCACGGCTTATCGAATCAGTGAACGGGTGAACGAGCGACGATCGGTACCGAGAGACCATCGGACCCTCCGTCCGCACTTATTTCCCTCCTCCCCCTCCTCCTCTCGCTACCCTCGCGGGTACCTTTATCTACCTACGTAGCTATACGCATACGCGCGACCCTTTCCCCGATGAAGGGTCTGAATTTGCATTTTATTCGCAGTCGTGGAACCGCGGGTCCGTCCGTGCGGCCAGCGCTCCTCCGCGGCCCGGACATTTATTTTAATTAAATTACTCCGGAGCGTCGAACAACCCATTTCCTATAAATTATCCCCTCGCCGCTCTTTTGCGTTCGCGCGCGCCGAGGCATTAACGTAACCCGCTGATCCCGCGGTGCCATTGAAATGAAATAAAAGCACCGGAGACCGCAGCGTGAGGACGGAACGTACCGCTCCCGCCGCGATTCCGTCGCTTCCCTTTCATTTACCGCGCAATCATTTTCCGCGAGTGCACCGGTAACGCGAACTGGCCTCAAGTTGCCTCGAGGAAACAATTTTCTCATGATGCTTTCCTTTCAATTTTTTTTTTCTACTATTTCTATTCTATTTTTATCGATTTTACGATATTGTTTATATTATATTATATTATTTTTTTTTATATATATTATATATATTGAATCATAATGGTTTAACACTTTTATCATTAGAGATCTTATCAATTTCTAACGTGATTTCTTATTATTATGAAACGTATCTGCCACATAAAAAGAGATATCTTTTGCATTCGTGTATTTTTTAATACGATTTTTTTTTAAATAATGATTTTTTAATACATAGAATTTGACGGCGATTTTTTTCATTCTTACACAAATCATTTTAACGCGTAAAAAGAGTTGGATTGGTAAAGATACAAAAGTATTCTTTTTTTATTAAAAAAATGCGTAATTCTGCTTTCTACAAGAATTATTCTACTTATTATTAATTTTCTAAGTTATAACTTTTACATTCTTAATATCTACAGCAGAATATTTCTTGTAGAAAGTAGAATTACGCATTTTTTTTTATAAAAAAGGAATACTTTTGTATCGTTTACCAATCCAACTCTTTTTACACGTTAAAATGATTTGTGTAAGAATGGAAAAAATCGCCGTCAAATTCTATGTATTAAAATACCATTATTTAAAAAAAATCGTATTAAAAAATACACGAATGCAAAAGATATCTCTTTTTATGTGGCAGATACGTTTCACAATAATAAGAAATCGCGTTATTAGAAAAAAACCGTGTAGAAAGAAAAATATGTACATAAAAGAGTTAAATATATTAGAAAAGTATGCATAGAATATGTATATTATTTGATTCACAGTATTTAACTCGCTTGTACGTTACTGCAGACACGGTCGATCCAAGCAGCTGTCATCTATGAATTATTCGATTGATTACAGTTGCAGTCGATAATTGATTTCTAATGGTAAAAGGTTGTTACAACCATTATGATTCACCCTGTATATATATATACTAAACTTCTCTTTAGAATTTTATATTTTGAATCTAATCTTATTTCAAAACACAGACAAGAAATGTAAACATATATCAATATTCCATGTTAAATTTATTTTTTAAATTTATTTATTATAAAATTAAATATTTTTTTATATTAATATATTTATATTTTTTTTCGCATTATTTTTTTATTTTTTTAATGTATGTATATATATATATATATATATATATAAAATATATATATAAAAAAAATATAAAATTCTAAAGAGAAGTTTTGATATTGTGTAATATACGAATTTGATATTAAATACTTATAAATATTTTGTATTATTTGGCAGTTTGTATGTTATTATAAAACATAAATAACTTTAAATAATAAAACATAAATAACTTTAAATAATATAACAAAAATTCGTACCTATTTTATTATTCCATGACTTTATCAAACAAGTATTTTCATTCAAACTGATCGAGATTAAAAGTATAAAAATAATATCGCATTTAAATTAGCAAATACTTTCTTTAATTATTATTAACAAATTTCACTTTAATTATCGTTATTATCTCGTGTTATGTTTTATACAACTGCCAAATTTATGGGCATTTTCCAGCAAGTGACACAGAGAACATAGTGTATCAAATATAAACAAGGATGAAATGATTCACTGTTTCCTTTTTGTCGCTTGTTGAAAAACGTCCTACGTAAGAAAAATATGCCACATAATAATATCAATACGTATCAAAGTAATAAGTCGTCATTCATGCTTGGAATATCTACGTAAAATTATCAAATATCGAAAGAATAAATCTCGTTCTTGAAGGTAAGTTTATCGTTCAACGCAACATGCGGAAAAGCAGCGCACGCGTTGGCGACCGATACGTCGTTAAGGTTAGGCTAGGTTAGACTGCGCGACACACAATGCGCTGCGTATTTACGTAGAGACTATGTCTCGAGACGTATTTACTCGTGAACGAGAAAACATCCTTCGTCAAACGACAATTAGGAGTACTCACCTGATAAGGGACGTCATCGCCGAGCTTGCCACGAGTCGCCGCGACGTTGAACGTGAGCACGCAACACTTGTCGGCATTCCACGCGTACAGCACGTTGTCGCGCACTTCGAGGATATTCCGCGTCTCTTTAGCACCGCACGACAGGCTCGCTCTGATGTCTTTGAACAGTCGTTTCTCGTTCAGCCGCAACAAATCCGTGCACGATGACATTTTATCGAACTGCGAGACACACGGTGCAAGGTTATGACGCGCGACCCGGTACAACAACAAACTCCGTCTGCCGCGCAACAGTTGTCGCTCCTGCGGCCAACATGGCGGCCGTTAGGTAGTTCGCGAGACGACAGGTGGCAGCCCTGTTCGAGCCATTTTGTCGCGAGCTTGTGTACGTGTGTGTGATTTCGCGCGCGATTAATTTCGATCCTTCGAACATCAGATATTATAACAAGTATCGTGCACTATAATCATAATCGTTTGATGAAACTACCATCAATTGCGCTGTTTAATCCGATCGAGAGTAATTTGTTACTTTATATTGGAATGATGGAGCAAATGTAATCTCTCGCGAGCGAACTTTTCCGAACGCGTCGAGCTGGTAAATTTGCTTTGCAAAACAACCGTTGGGCGGCGCTGATATTCGTGGCAGCCATCTTCCCGCGATTTTATATTCAAGTGACGCTGCAAGTGTGATTTCGTAGACGATTAATCCGTATTTTTTACGAATATCCAAGTTCGTGTGCACGATCGCGAATTGTTATTATTATTAATCGTTTCGCGAAATGCTCGTTGATCGCGTAATGTTGCAGTGTTCGGTCAGTGATTCGGTTTTCCGCGTGTTTTTTACGTTCGAAGTGTGATTTCGCGAGTGATCTTTTGCGTCGCGAGCATACATGTCGGGAAGCCATCTTAATTTCTCGAGATAATTGGTCATTATTATACAATATCGTGTTCGATTCGGTCAATTTTTTGCGTGATTTTTAACTCGAGTGATAGTAAATGTTGTCGCGCGAGTGTTGAGTTCCTGTATTCATCGTGAAATATCGAAACGATGCAGTATTTGTTCAACTTCGAGATCGACGTAGCATAGGTAAGCATACGCATCATTACGATTGCAATCATACGCAATTGATATTTTTAAATTATCACTTTTGACGCTTCACGATTGTTCAATAGTATTATCTCGTTAATAATTTGTCAAACTTAAAATGTACATGTCATGTATGGCGTAATGTAGAGTCGGTATATGTAACTTTTGTCAAAAACATTAGATTTAACATATGATAAAATGAATAAAATTCATTTTTTGCAGTAAAAAAATTTTGTAAAGCAACTATTATTTGCTTCCAGGCCCCGGAGGGATTCGAACCCTCGATCTCCTGTTTACTAGACAGGCGCTTTAACCAACTAAGCCACGGCGCCGTTGGAGGAATGTGAGTACCTGTAATTTATCAGTGTGTGTGCATCTTCCTAAAATTTTATCAAGTTGCATTTTTGAAAGCAGATCGTAATTTTTAATTACAATTGTTTTTATTACATACATATATATCTCAGATATTTTTTTCATACAATATTAATCATATTAATATTAATATTATATATGCAGTATAATGTTATAGATGGAATAGGGATGATATAAAAATATTTTGATACATAATTTGAATTTCAAAGTATATTCAAAATAATTTTTTTATTTTTGTTTATAACGAAATACTTCCTCTTTCTCTTAAATTCTACATTATTCTATAAATATAGATTCTCTTTATTTTATAAAAATTTAGATTTTTATTAAAGTTTACTTCATTTTTTCGATTAAATTGGACGTAATTCTTATAGGATGGTAATTTTTAATTACAGTTGTTTTTATTACATACATATGTACCTCAGATTTTTTCTCAATGCAAGATTATCATATTAATATTATATATGCAGTATAATGTTATAGATGGAATAGAGATGACATAAAAATATGTTGATACACAATTTGAATTTCAAGGTACATTCAAAATGATTTTTTTATTTTTGTTCATAACGAAATACTTCCTCTTTCTCTTAAATTTTGCATTATTCTATAAATATAGATTCTCTTTAATATTTTATAAAAATTTACATTTTTATTAAAGTTTACTTCACTTTTTCGACTAAATTGGCTATAATTCTTATAGGATGTACTTTTAATCATTCTTCTTTGTATATAGCAAAATATTAATTATATTTAGACTTTATTTGCAAAAAGAAACGCCCCCGGGTGGGCTCGAACCACCAACCTTTCGGTTAACAGCCGAACGCGCTAGCCGATTGCGCCACGGAGGCTGTTTGGTGGTCACTCTTTAGTAGATCATAACAGCCTCCATCTTCTCTTTCTCTCTCTTTCTCACTCTACATACATAGCCTTATTTTTTACATATTTTATCTCTTGTCACATGTATACGGGAGAAATGATAGTAGTATCAAATAATATGGCATAAAATAATGATATTTGCTAAATCAGAGTTATGCGATTTAAATAATTTTAACTTGTAAAAATATGAAAATACTATAAAATATTTTTGCTAATGAATTGAATAACAATTACAAAAGGAAATTATTTAATAGATATATGATCGTTAAGAGAGAAACACTTAAAATTGTCCCGACTGTTTCCATTTATTACGTCTCTTTGTGCGCAAAAAAAAAAAATGAGAGTATGTCAGTGAGACCTGCAAATTATTAGGTACATGCAAAGCGATTTGCAATTCATTTCCCGATAAGAGTCGGCGATGGATTATGCTTTAGACTCCGCTGTGTTCTCGAGCTATACTACTACTAACAAATGTTCGTACCTATAGATTCGTAGCATACTGCGATACAAATCGAACAGATGTGTCGACGCAAGAAAACTGCCGCGATGAAATATCGCCACGCATTGTAATAAATTTGTTAGTCAAAGTTGCGTCGCGTGTCGCGCCGATAATATGCGCGTATACACAAATAGTCCGGCAGTTGCATCGAAACCATATACGGTTAATTAAATGGGGTCGGCTCATTAGTAACTGTCTATATGCAAGGCGATGGGCGAGACGCGATTGGAGGGTGGTCCCAAGGTGATTTATCCGTCACGATGGATCGCAGATGTTCGACTGGTACGCGACGCGGGTCATCACAATACCGTAATTAGGATGATAGCGTATCTATATGTATGCAAAGTGAAAATGCACGATTGCATAATATGTAGATTATAGAAAGTAATTGTGGTAGTTACAATATTGTTTTCCGAAATGGACGAAGGATATATTATATTTCAAGATATTAAAAGCGAAATTAAAAACAAATTGTTTGTTTTTAGTGAATAATTATTTAATTACATCAAATTTATTTTTTATTTATATATCTATTATTTTTTATGCCACGAGGAATGAGAAATATAAAGTAGTTCTTATTTTGTATTAATCTAATGACTTTCATAGAGAGTATAAATGATTGATGTATTAATTTCTTTTTGAAGTAGTAGATGTACCATTACACATAAGATTTGCTCTTAAAGATCTCTACCAGAAGGAAATCTTCTGCTTCAGCAATGGTGACACTAACGGTCTGTTTAAATTGTGCGTTTAATTACAAGTAAGAGACAGTCGCCGCGAAATTTATCGGTCACTGTTATCGTCCCCTTCGTTCCTAATCTACAGAGCAGATATCTACGCTAAACACAAGATAACATATCCTTCGTCTGCAATAAGACGCTTCTCATTGCTTTTTAGTGCCCCTTCCTGGAGAAGCAATTAGATTTATCAAGCATATATACATGTAATTTACTGATGTTGTAACAATATAGAAGCCAATTTAATAATAAATACATATAATAATTCATAATACATCGAGCCTGAAGAACTATGATTTAAAAATTGTTACATATCTTTTCAAAATATTAACTAGAAATAGATATATATGCACGTGTATTTCAATAATTAATAGTAAATAATTTTTATATTTCAATAATTAATAGTAAATAGAAAATATTTAGAAAATATCTAGAAAAATTAACAATAAATTAATATCTTAGCTGGTATAATGCAATAATATTACATAAATAATATTAAAAATAATATTAAAAAAAAAACTTGTTCTTGTTTTTTATATTTATATAAGAAAAAATATTTATTTTTTATATAATTGCATATTTTTGAAATTTACTTTAATTATTGAAGAATTCTTGTTGTGTACATAAGTTTAGATACTACTTATATATATTGTTACCGTTAGAGAATACATGGATCTCGCTTCTTATTGGATAGGAATTTATGGCCATAAATTTAACCGGTTGAGACGGTCGAGAGGTTGTGCTTCCTCTTGGAAGTTTACAATTCCTCATTCTCTCTATCCTGTAACCAACATCCGCTCCTTCTCTCGTACTCGCGTTTTCCTCCCCTTCTCGGTACGGAAAGCACGGTACTTTACAGGCCATGGTGGATGTCTATGATGAAGGTGTGCACATTCTAGGATACACGAGGCTTGTAACGTAACGATGTAACGGGTGAGCATTGCACTGAAATCATGATGAATTCATTCAGAGTGCGAATTAACATCCGGTGGAGAGTAAGTTTCGCTAAATGCCCCGGAAGAGAGAATGCACGCGAAACCGGCAATCATCAATATTACATCACGGTAAACCAAAGTTGAGATTTAACAAATTTTGTTTGCTCAAGAAATCATTAGAATTTATTAACCGCTTCGGCTCTCCCGTGTGGTCTAGTTTGTTATAAATATATAATAATTCTATATTCATTTCATGAGTACACATCTCTTTATTCTATATTATGATTATGTTTATTAATTAATATATTCTCGTGTTGTATTCTCGCCATTTGTTTGATATAATTTAATTATTCAATGCTTAGAAGAGTAGGAAAGAGAGAAAGAGAGAGAATAATGATTTAAAAAAATTTTAGAGTGCCTCAAATACTGTTGTTAGGTAATGAGGATTTTTACTAAAAAATTACTACAGTAATAAAGATATTTTGTGTAGAGATATTGTAAAATATATGCGCACATTAAGAAAAATATTTTACATTTGAAAAATCGTATAATAATGAAGAAAGATTGTCAAAAGTATCACAATAATCTATGTCATGCTATAACGACGTTATCGTTTCGGTGTCATACGTATGAAAATGATGTTTTCTCCTTCGCGCTGTTCTTGACTCGTTTTTCTCATTCAATCAACTAATAGCCTGTAGGATGAAGAGCACGATAGAACGGATCACGAACACCCGGTAGACAATACGTCTTGGCACTCGTAGGTCATTGTGGCGTTGAAAGGGAGTAACTTATAGGGGCATTGGGAATTACCAGTTTATTATTAGGGAGATAGCATAGAGGGCCAAGATCAGGGGTTGCTGTTAATTCTCCTAACACTTGGCTCCCTGGAGAGAACACGCTGCCTTAAGACTTCCTCCTTCTCGACTCACCCCATTGCGTGGCCGACATCTTGAATCGCTGCCGTGTTAATTAGTACGACTTTAAACGCGCCCGCATGCGGTAGCAATCGGGATTCTCTGAAATGATTTCGCCACTCTCTGGAAGATGTAAAGTTTCATACGTAGTCTTGGGGTCAAAAATTCTAAGTGAAGAATTCAATTTCAAGCATGATCGCACACAGTATATTTTATAGTACGATTTATGCTTGTATTTATATTATATAACAAATAAAATTCGCTTCAAATTTTAATTTAAATTATTTCTCAAGTAGAGTACATTTAAAATTTTACGAAAATTAATTACATTTTGATTTAAATGTTGAAATAATAATTTGTATTTCTTTACTTTTGTTAATATTTTCGAGTCTATTAAAAGTATTGCGAAAAATGCAATGTATAAATAGTACAAATATATTTAGAGATATATAAAATCATATATGTATAACTTAATTATTTAGTGTTTCGGATACTCTTTCGTTTTCCTGTACAAGAGAGGAGAAGATAAAATATCTTTCGCCACCCTCTTTAATCCAGATACGAAGGTGAAACATTTTCGGAGGCTCGGAAAGACGAGTCGACGGGGCTTTGACGTATGGAAGATGTCAGTTGTGGGCTGGCACGGTGGTGTCGTCGATTCGTCTTCCCTTTAGCCGCCACCTTTCGCGAATCCTTTCCGTTCCGCTATCCTTTACGTTATATAAATGGTGCTCGCGTCTGGTAGCCACTGGCAAAATTTCGTCGGCCTCGCCACAGATTGCTTTATTTTCGGGGCTGTTCGATTTATCAATTGGTTTCTTCAAGTTTCTCTTGGCGAAACTGGATTTCCTAAATTTAATTGACACATATTAGTGATTAACCGAATAAAGATAAAATGTTAGTGTACTGTTACGTTTTCTTCAAGAACCGCTACTAATGTTAATATCCTTCTTTGCTCTGCTATTAATTCTTTTCTTATGTAAATAAGATTTAGAAATATAAAA